TTTTGATATGTTGTGCTTTCATTGTTTGAATCTAGGAATTTTATTTCTTTCCTGATTTCTTTTGTGATGTACCTATTATTCAATAACGTATTTAATATCCATGTGCTAGTGTAGTCTCTATTTTCTTTTGCTGTTAATTTCTAGCTTTAGTCTGCTATAATCTAGTAGTATACAAGGGATTATCTAAATTCTTTTGTATTTACTTAAGGATGCCTTGTAGCCCCAGGTATGGTTTGTTTTGGAAAAAGGACTATTTGAAAAATATGTATTTAGTTACTGCTGGGTCAAAAACTCTTAAGAGAGATTTGTTAAATCCACGTGTTTGACGGTGTAGTTTAACTACGGTAGTTCTTTGTTGATTTTTTGTTATTGTTCCTTGTCTGGTTGGTCTAATTGTGATGGGGGCTCCTACGGTTATATTGATCTGTTTATTTAGATCCCGTAGTTTTCCTTTTTCAAAGTTGAGTACACAGCCATTTGACATTGGACATGTGGTGCATAGATATTTACAATGTTGCCTCTTCCTGTTAAGTCATTTCCTTTACCAGTATAGAGTGGCCATCTTTGTCTCTTCTGATCAGTTTTGGCTTCACGTGAGCTGTGTCTAAATAAGATAGGGATGGGAGAGTAAAATCAATTAAAAATGTGTTCAGTACATGTAACAAATCCCCGCAATGAATGTAATCACTGTGTACTGCAAACATGAACTAGTAAATTAAAGAAGAAAACAAAATAGCTATTCTTGCTCCGGCTGTGGTAAAATGGAAAATCATTTTCCATCCTTTGGCTTTTAGTTTGTGTATTTCCTTTTGAATGGGGCATGTCTCTTGTAGGTAGTATATGATTGCATTTCCTTTTTTATCTAGTCTGTCAGTCTGTGTCTTTTAATTGGGGAAGCGAGATCACTGACATTAAAAGTTGTTGTTGTGGGGCTGGGGATTTAGCTCAGCGGCATAAGCGCCTGCCTTGCAACCAGGCAGTCGTGAGTTCGATCCGTGGTACCAATAAAAACTTTCAAGACAAAAAATAAAAAATAAAAAAAGTTGTTGTTGTGTTTATTGAATCATATCATGGCATTGTTTTTGAGTGCGATTCTTTCACTTTTTTCCTTTTGTTTAACTATGCTCCCAGTTAGATGTGTACTTTCCTTAGGGCTCTTTGGTGCTGGTGGCCTCCTTGTCTGTCTAAGATTCTCTTAAATATTTTCTGCAATGCTGTTTAGTTGTCATGTGTTTCTTTAGGATTTCTTTGTTGTAAAAAGTCTTCTTCATCAGTTTTGAAGGCTAAGTTTTCAGAAAGTAAAAGTCTGGGTTGATGTTTAGGGCTTGAAAACTTGCCTTTATAGTGAGCTCAAGGTCATCCTGTACTATGTAACACGACCTTTTCTCCAAAAAAACCCTTATTTTATAAAATTAAATTATTTTATAAAAATATAAAATAATTTAGCCATAATAACATAGAGTCAAATTTAGCTAAAAATTAATGGTACTCAGTAGTAATAATAATAATAATGGAGTAGCAAAAGGAAACTAAAAGAAGTAAAACTTGAAAAAGAGAAAAGGAAGATGAGAAAGGGAAGAAAAAAGTGAGGTAAAAATACTGCTAAAGAATTAAAAAGTTAACAAATGAAAGTAACAAAGGAAAGCAAAAGAATAAAAATAAAGAGCAAAAGACAGGGAAAAATGAAACGAAAACCAAAGAAAGAAAGTACAAAAATCTGTTTTGGGGCAGTTGTGGGGCTGGAATCTACCAGATGCGGGTGGCAGCAGTGAGTGACAACTGTGGCCTATTCTGTCTCCACACCTAGCGGCCTTCCAGAAGGCTCCATTTCCTGAAGGATTCCCTCCCTCCTAGCAGCCATCCTGGGTACCAGGCCTTACATATATGCACCTTGTGGACTCTTAGCCAACCATATCATTCCGAGCCTGAACCTCTAAGGCACGTGTGCATTGCACAATGCAAGATGCATTTTCTCCATCCACAAGTGTCTCCAAAGTCTTAACTGTTTCAACACTGCTTAAAAGTCCAAGTCTTGGGGCTGGGGATTTAGCTCAGCGGCATAAGCGCTTGCCTTGCAAGCAGACAGTCGTGAGTTGATCCCCGGTACCGATAAAAAAGACAAAAGACAAAAAAAAAAGTCCAAGTCTTTTCCAAGATTCAAGCAAATCAACTGTGAGCTGCTATGTTACATACTTCCAAAGTACAGTGGTGGGAGAGGTACTGGGTAAACACTCCAAAAGGTAGGAATAAGAAAAATATTAAGAAGACCAAAATTCAGCAAGACAGACACTAAATCCTAAAGCTTCTTATCTGGATCCATTGCACAGTGTGGTGGGATGAGAGCTGTGAAGGGCTTCTGCAGCTCCATGCCTTCTCACTTGCAGAGTGAGGTTGTAACCCTCACTCTGTTGGGTGGGGTCTGCATGCTGCTGGCAGATTTCCCTCATGAGCACTGCACATTGCTGGTGTTTTCCCCTTCACTGAGTCTCCACTACAGCTTTATTCCCACATCTGCATTACACATCGCCCTGCTGGGACTACAGGGACCCTGACCCAACAGCACATCTCCCAGCTACCGAAGTTTTCTTTCAAAATATGGTGAAAGCTACCTTGATCCCATGACTCTTACATTCTGCATGCCTGCAAAAAGCAGTGCATTGATGATGCCAGGGTCTACTGCCTGCATGAGCTGGGTCCATTTGAACCATGGTTGCAGCACGCCCCCTGCAAGGGAGAGACTTGGGTGTGTTAGGTGCTGATGATAAGCATTTAGTTGAAAACCAGAGGCTCTTCACAGATTATTTGCTGAATGAAAGTGGGGAACATTAAAGTAAAAAGATTACACTATTAACTCCCACACACACTGACCAGAATTAGCTTCACTAATAGTAACACAGCATTAAGTTTATTCTGCGGCACTGTAGTATGAAGTGGTGGCATCATCTAGGATTCTTGCTAAATCCATATATTGAACCTGGATATGTTCTAGCCTACAGACATTACTTCCAGTTTATACTCAGCATAGAGGATAAAGAAGTTAACCCAGTGTCAGACATTCTAAGAACAAGGGTCTTTGTCTATTAAATCAGCATCATAGAGAAAAAGAAGCCAGAAGGGCCTTGAGGAATATGAGCAAATGTATTGCTAGTTCTTAACTGAGTCTTTATTTGAAAAATCTGATGTAAGAAGACAATGATAAAAGAGTCTCTCATATGCTTCTGAAATGGTAATTCCTTCTTTTGGTTCTGAGATTTATTCTAATTTGTTATAATGAATTTTCCTTTACTTCCTAAGCTATTTCAGATCATTTTTTATTTACAGCAGACCAAAGCATCTTATGTGCTGGGCATGTAACAAAGAATAAAACTAAGAACCTGCCTCAGTGAGCTTACATTTTTATCAGGAGAAAACAAGTTCAGTAAATACACACTAAACAATGTTGACTCTTACCGTGAAAAATAAAGCAGGGCAAGTAGCCTAAAGTGGGGGAGTGGTTGGGTTCCTGTGTGCTGTCAGCAAAGACTCCTCTGAGAGGGTAGTGGTTGAGTGACATAAGGGAACAAGCAATGAACATGTCAGGGGTATGAGTAGTCCAGGTCGAGGGAAGAGTAAATCCAGAGACACCAAGCACGCAGTCATGAGTTCTATCCCCAGTGCCAAAAAAAAGAAAGAAAGGAAAACTTAATACTGAATTTCAGAACACATCAATCAGGGGGCAATAATACTTTGCAGATTGTCATCCCCAAATCATTCACCCAGAGCAAAAGACCTCAATACCAGCACAAATCTTTCTCTTCAGTGAACTTGGAGAAATCAATAGTATAACCATCTTAACTGTTTTTAATCTTTCTTTTCAGTGAATTCAGGGAAATCAGTAGTATAACTATATTACTGTTTTTAAATAGATATACATACACATACTTATGTTTCTTTTGGCTTCTCACACTAATGAGACAATATAATGTTTTCACATGTGTATCTTATTTCACTAATGAGTATGGTCTCAAGTTGCCATCCTGGATAATTTTTAAAGAATAACTGGCATAATTTGCTGATGGGTTAGATGGAGCGGGTAGGAAGAAAACAAATAAAGAGGATTCCAAGATTTTTTAGCTTAAACAGTTGGAGGATGGAAGTGCCATCTGTGTGATAAAGAAACCTTAGAAGTAGGATGGGATTCAGTTGTTTTTTCACCTTGCTTGAACAATGAACTTTGAAAAGGTTAAGCTTCAGAAATTTTTAAAAGTAAATAAGATTGGCAACTGTGGGAATCAGTTTTGAAGTAATAAGTTTGAGGTACATATACATACATCCAACTGGAGATGTTTATTGCTTCCCATTGAACTATTGTAAAGTATTTCTCACCGGACATTTATATAGTTCTGATTCCTGTAATCTAGTCTTACACACTCAGCTCAAGATTTTGCTTCCATCTTCTGCTTGCTATCAACCTAAAATTAATGACAAAACCAAAATTCCAAAATAAAGGGTTTTTCCTAGAATAGTACATTTGTGTGCTTTGGGGGACCATCAGTACATCAAGAAAAGGTTAGAGCAGGGAAATTTTTAAGGAAAAAAGGGGCAAGCTCATGTAGGTTGTTTTGAAACTAGGACTTGTAGGAGTAGTATTTAGCTGATTGGGCAAGGCAGCTGTTACTGGGCAAGTTTCCTTGCACATGTGGCTCATCTGAAATACCGTGGTTTTGAGGAATTCCTAAGATGATTCCTTTATGAGCATCTGTGGACTCTTTCATGGCCTGTGTCTCCATTTTGCAAGAGTTTGACATAAGTGACTTGATTTTTGGTACTGACAATATCCATCCACATTCCTCAAAAAACCTTTCTCTGAATAATCTAGATCTGTATTTCTTATTCACTTAAGTTCCAGTAACAATTGACTATTTGAGTTTTAGAAGAAATGTTTGTTATACGTCAGTATTTCGTACGTAGACTAAGATGCAAATGGAATACTGAATCTCTCTGTCTCTCCTTTCTAACAGTTGCTCTCCGGTAATTCCTGAATTAAATTGAAAGGATGAGTGAACTAGAACAACTGAGGCAGGAAGCGGAGCAGCTGCGGAATCAGATCCAGGTGAGAACATTTTCATTTCTTTCAAAAGTTTAATGCTTTTTGTCTAGTATAAGGCTAAAATGGTCAGTATGTTTTTAACATGTCTAAAAATCATTCCCAAGAAGTACCAGCACAAATGGCTTCTGTGTTCCTGAGAAGTTAATAATGTATCTGCAACCCCAGATGAAAGACAAACATAATACTGTTCTTATTCAAACACCTAGAATCATAGATTTTTGGAAAATACAACAAGGCAGATATTATCACATGTAGTAGGACAATATTAATCTCTAAAATATTGGATTGCAGCATCATTAAAAATAAGAGGCAGAATTAAGATGTCTGATATCTTAATTTTGGAAACGAATTCAGAACAGTAAAAAGGATGTAAAACAAATACTTAGACCAGGCATGGTGGTGCATGCATGTAATTCCAGCACTTGGGAGGGTGAGGCAGGAGGACTTCTGTAAATTCCAGGTCAGCCTGGGCTGCATAGTGAGTTCAAGGCCAATTTGTAATACATAGTGAGACTGTCTCAAAAAAGAAAGGAGGAGGGGCAAAGCAAAGCTCTAGCTTTATTTTATTATATATTTATTTGGTGGGTTATTTTTTCTTTTTTTCTTGGAGATAGGTACTCACTATATAGTTCAGGCTGACCTTGAACTCGTTTTGTAGCCCAGGCTGGCCTCAAAACACTTTGCGATCCTAATGCCTCAGCCCCCTGAGTGCTGGAATTACAGGTGTGCATCACTATGCCTGGCCAGATACTATAGCTTTATCAAAATTAAGATACTCTTAGAACTTTAAACCCTAATAGGAGGAGGAACAGATGTCAAATGCAACAGTATAACCCATGAGGACAACTGGGAAAGAAGGTGCCTGCAGCAGCTATCTGTCTAATAGGAGCAGGGCGCACCCTCTGAAAGGAACAACTCCAACAATCCCTTCTTTGGAACAGTGGGAAAGATGCTTGCTTGTACTTGGTTGACTCCAAGGGATATCAAGAAAAGCAGAGCAAAGAATGAAAGGACATAGGAAAGGCCCTTGGTAAGCAGGTGGAGGAAAGAGTGAATTATGAATCATCTAGCAGCTGCCTGCTGCTTTTTGTACAAAAGAGTAAAAACTTAAATGACTTTCTGATGTAAACAACTTTTGCAGTAGCTGTTTCAGAAAAGCTTAACAGATTTACAAGTAAAAAATAAAATCTATGTAGATATATGACAAGAAAAAAAGAAAGAGGTAAAAGAAGGGATGGCTGCAACACATGAGAAAAATGTTGCTTTGCGAGTATAGTGAGGTCCTAATGAGCACGGGTTGACAGGAATTCAAGGAATTTAATGATTTCATCATGAATAATGACTCTGGGTTGATATTGTACAGGTCTGAACAAAGTTGTCGAAACAAAGGAGAGATTTCTTTGCTTGAGATTTCAGAGAAGACTTGACAAGCTAATTTCTGCATTAGAGGTTACAGTTGAGTATCCTTTATCTGAAATGCTTGGGGCCAGAAGTCTTTCAGATTTTTTTAAAATTCTGGAATATTTGCATACACATAAAGAGATCTATAGGACTTGGGGCTCAGGTCTAAAAATGATGTTTTTGTTTCTTATGCATATAGCCTGAAGGTGATTTTACATGTCTTTAGTGGGCTTGCATTTTGCTTGTAACCTGTTACCTGAAGTCAGGTATAGAATTTTCCACTTACAGTATGATGATGATAGCAGTGCTCAAAATGTTTCAGGTTGGAGTTTACAGATTTTGGATTTTCAGAGTAGAGATGCTTAGTCTTTACTGCCACCACCAGAATGGATTGTCTGCCGTTTCTGTTTTGTGCCACTTACTCCAGATGCTGAGCAAAAGCAGCTGATGCTTGGCCAAATGTATGTCCCATGCCCATCTCATTTAATCCTCATAGCAACCAGGTGAAGCAGATAGTGTTGCTTCATTTTATAGTTGAGGAAATCAGTGAGATTAAATAACTTTTCAAGGTAACACTAGTGTTAAGCAGGTTTCAGAGCAGGTATGTTTTGAATGTTTTGACTCCAGGGCCTGTGCTTTGTCACTGAAGATGCACCGTTTCCCAGGCTATCTCACACCCCTCCCTGCAGCTGTATCAGCACAAGTGCCATTCCTGAACCATGTATGGTGCTCAGGAATGTTACTATTCCTGAACCGTGTATCATGCTTTCTTACTTCACTGGCTTTTGTCAGATTGTTTCCTTTGCCTGGAATTATATTGCCTATGTTTTGCTGTTTGGAATCCTGTCTGTTGAATCCTACTTCTCCTTTAAAAGCTTTATAAGAGTCCTCCTGTTGGATTCATTCTCTTTTCTTTATTGAAAGGCAGAATGGCATAGTGCAGCGTGTATGAACTCCTTTTTATTACTTTGTGATCATAGGCACGTTTCTTAACTTTCCTCGTGCAAGAATGCCAGTGCCCACTTTATAGGTTTATGCAGAGGAGTAAACACATAAAGGACTTAGACTAATACAAACCAGTGGCAGTTCGTTACTTGTGTGACATTTTAGACTTCTGTGACAGGGATAACCATAGCCTGCCTTGTATTTTTTAGCTCCTTGTACACATTCACCCTTGTGATTTATAATTACTTGTACTTGCATAGGAAATGATGTCTTAATCATTTCCCAAGTTCAGTGTCATGGGCACAGGTGTTCACTGAATCATATCCCATGATTTCAAGTGACTTTGTGTGTGTAAAACACCATGTACTTGTCTCCTTGGTTTAATCACGTCACACTGTACTTAACGTCCATTCTCCTTTTTTTTTTCCTTCCCCTCCTCTCCAAAAATATAATCTTAATATATTTTTTCTCAACTATAAGGTAAATACATGACTTAATAGAATGTGTGCTATTTAATGTAATAAATGACTCATTATAAACTCAGTACAAATGAAAGGACACATTTAGTTTTCTTTTTTTAGGTGCTCATATAAGTATTTTTATTTCATTGAAAAATTTAAATATGAAAAGTCAAAAAGCAACTCTTTTCTTTAGTATCAATATAAAATGCCACATTTGTTACACTATACTAAGATGTACCTCAGTAGCCAGCACAGTTACTATAGCAAAGCTGGTTGATTTAGCTTCTGCCACTTCATGCAGAGCTAAAATTCTGTTTTCTTTTATGATTGTTACTTCTTTGATTTAGAACAAGAAATATATCAACTTTTTTTTCTTTTATTTTGCGCAAATGTTAATATCAGGTCTTACATTTTTCGTTGTAGTAGACAATATAGACTTCTTTTACATGCAGTTTTACAATGAACATTAGTGCTCATGAGAATAAATTCTCATTTGAATAATGTACACTAGCAAGTGATTGCTGCTAAGCTACAGGAAGCATTTGTATATTCCAACACAATGTTTTAATTTTTGGTACTGATTTTTACTGTAGCTCAAAAATTTTCATTTATAGTTTTAAAGTTGTATTATTAATCTAATGTGAGCTGTATGATGGCAGAGCATTTTTATTTGTCCAGTGCTGAGAGTGGTCCCACATGCATCACGTTCAACTGAATTTTTACTGAAGACTGAAGACTGAATCAAGAAAGATGGCCTAGGGGCTGGGAATTTAGCTCAGCGGCATAAGCGCCTGCCTTGCAAGCAGGCAGTCGTGAGTTCGATCCCTGGTACCGATAAAAACGAAAAAGACAAAAAAAAGAAAGATGGCCTATTTGAGACTGGCCTAGGCTACTAAGTGAGCCCAAGTCCAGCCTGAACTGCATAGCGAGACCGTATCTCAAAAAGACAAAAAGAAAGATGATCTAAACAATGATCATTTTGAGGAAGTTTGAAATCAGAGAATCATTTGTTTTTGGTTTTTGGTTTTTGGTTTTTTTGCCTTTTTTTTTTTAGAATTATAGTCTTCAATTCCACAATTTTTAGAACATGGCTCAGGCCATCACTGTCATTTCTTGAAATTCTTTAACCTCTAACTTTGAAGATGGAGCAAAAAAAGAAAGAAATTCTTTAACCTCTATGAAAGTGAGCTAAATTATTCCTTACCAAGTGAAGTCTCTAAATCTGTAATTTGTGTGAGAATCATATTTTTGTACAACTACCTGTGAATACCTTACATAGAAATGGTCTAAATGTTTATAAATAGGTTCAAAGAACAGCCAGAAATGTCGTACCTTCCATATATTCTTTGCTAGCAATATTTTATTCAACAAGTATTGTGTGACATCTTTTTGCCTCAGAATGTACTAAGAACTGTAGGCAAAAAACAAAGTTAAAAACACTACACTAACCTTTATTTCAGAGTGAAGATTAAGTCTAGCTTTTCTCTAAATTCTCTTGAGTTTGTTATTAACTGGTAAACTTGGTTTAAAAATTTTTTTTAGGTCTGAGTGTAGAGTTCAGTGAGTACACTACACCTGAGTTCAGTCCTCAACATTAAATAAAAAAATACTTTGCAGCTTATTAAATGCATGTTCTGCCTCTTTATTTTGTTATACTGTTTCACCATCTTTCCTTCAGTTCATATGAAAATTTAAGGTCCTTTTGAAAGACTCTTGTTTAGGCATAAACACCTGCTTGTGTGTAGGGAGTTTGTTATAATATAAAAATAGAGATTCCAGGGGCTGAGGATTTAGCTCAGCAGCATAAGCACCTGCCTTGCAAGTGGGTGGTCGTGAGTTTGATCCCCAGTACCAATAAAAAAAAAAAATAGAGATTCCAGAGTAAATTATTGCCTATTCCATTAAAAAAAGTATTTTCCCAAACTTTAGTAGAGAAAAGAGCATTCATCTCCCAAGGAAGTAGACTAGTGTAAAACACAAGTTGTATGCAGGGACTGATAAATTAAATTAGACAGGAAAGCAGTAATAACTTGTTGATTGTCTTTTTAAAATATTGTTTTTCGATGTCTGGGGATGTAACTCAGGATTAGAGTAGGTGCTTAACATATGCAAGGCCCTGGATTCTGTCTTCAGGACCAAAAAAAAAAAAAAAATGTCTTGAGATAATTGTTTGTATATTGAATCTAAAATGTTTTCTTTCTAGTGGCAGTAATTGCAGTTGTGTGTATGCAGTATTATTTTATAAGGTTTTTTTTTTTAAAGAAGTACTTTGTGTTTCTTTAAGTACTGGAATTGAACCCAGAGCCTTCGGGTTGATAAGGTAGTGTTCTACCATTGAGTATTACCTCCAGCCTTTATATTTAATTTTGAGATAAAGGTTCACTGTGTTGTCCAGGCTGGCTTTGAACTTGTGATCCTCCTGCTTTAGCTGCCCAAGTGGCTGTGATTACAAGTGTACACCACTGAGCCTGGCTTCATTTAGTATTTTTGAAATGATCTGGAGTATATTAAAGTACACGTAGCCTTTTTATCCCCTTAACTTTTAGGTGCCACAACAAATAGAAGGGAATTTAAAACTCTTAATTTCTGCTAAAACTTAGTTATAAATATAACTGAGTACTATATAGATTTATTAAATCAGTTAGATAATTTAAACTAGAGGATATATCTTTTTTAAAATCTTGTAATTATAAACCAAAACTATATTGGTACAATAGTACAAGATTTGAGATTCCATAAATAAGACTTGGCTGTGGTCCATTGATTTCTCAGCAAGGGCAAAGAATAGATTTTTTTCAATACAGTGAAAGAAATGATGATCACATCTAAAGAAGACATAGTTTAAAAAATAGAGGAACATGGCAAAATGATTGAAATCTTGAATGAACAATATAAGAAAGAAATAATGCACGAAAGATTCAAAGAGATATCCAGGAAATGAAAAATTCCATTGAAAACTGGAAAAACAACCTCAATGAATGTGAAGATAGACCTTCATTCAGATCTTGAAGACAAGATTGCAGCTAGGGAACAAGAAAGGAAAGATCTTTTAAAAATAACAGTGAATCAGGAATTAACAATTCAACAGTTGCAAGATGGTACAAAGAAAAACAATATAAGATTAATAGGTGTAAAGGGAAAATAAAGTAACAACACTAATGATACAAAAACACTATTTACATAAGTAATAGCTGAAAATTTTCCAAACATAGGAGAGCAAACTGACACACAGATAAGTGAAGCATATAGAACTCCAGTTAGCCATAACCAAAATAAATCTATACCCAGGTGTATAATAATCAACATCCCAGAAATTCAGCATAAGAACAGAATATTAAAAGCTGTTAGAGAAAAGAAACAAATCACCTATAAAGAAAAGCTCATCAGAATCACAGGAGACGTCTCAGCACAAACAATGAAATCAACACAAGCATGGAGTGAAGTATTTCAAATCCTAAAGGAAAACAAATTTTGACCCAGATTGATGTACCCTGCAAAACTATCCTTCAAAACTGACAGAGAAATAAGATACTTCCATGATAAAGAACAGCTGAAGAACTTCAGGACCACCAAGCTATCCCTGCAAAGAATACTGAAAGATATTCTAGATAGACATAAAAATAAGTACAACTTGAAGAACACCACCATCAGGGGAAAAAAAAAACCACTAAGCAAGGCAAACAGAGTGGAAAGGTAAAAAACCAACAGCAAAAAGATAACATGACAAAAATAAGCCAATATATGCCACTTATAACCATTAATGTAAATGGCCCAATGTACCAATTAAAAGACAGAGACTGGCAGAATGGATCAAGAAACAACATCCAATCATATGCTATGTACAAGAAACCTATCTAACCCAAAAGGAAATTCAGGAACTGAAAGTCAGAGGATGGAAAACAATACTTCATGCAACAGAACCCCACCACCACCAAAAAAGGCAAGAGTAGCTATTGTGTTTGCAGACAACATGAACTTCAAACCAAAAGTGATCAAAAGAGATAAAGAAGGTCACTACATACTAGTTAGGGGAAAACTTGAAGAGGAGGAGATAACGATCTTAAATATATATTCACTAATTATGGGAGCACCAAGCTATACAAAGCAAATATTAATAGAAGTGAAAAAATGAAATAATAATAATTATAACAGGAGACTTTGACACACCATTGACACAAAGAGGTAGATCAACAAGACAGAAAATCAGCAAAGAAAAGAACTGAGTCAAAACTTGTGAAGAAATGGATTTAATAGATGTGTACAGAGTGTCCTACCCAACAACAAAATATATATTCTTTTCAGCTTCATATGGGACATTCTCTAAAATAGATCATATAATAGCCCATAAAACATGCTTAAATTCCAAAGAATTGAAATTATCCCATGCATACTATCTGATCATAGTGCTATAAAACTGGAAATTAATGACACTGCACAATCTCTGTAAACACATGGAAATTAAATAATATACTCCTGAACAATCAGCAAATCACAGAAGAAATTAATAAACAGCATCTACAAGCAAATTAAAATAGACAACAGATCTGTGGCATGCAATGAAAACAGTCCTCAGAGGGAAATTTATTGCAGTGAACTCCCACATCAGGAAAACAGAATGAACACAAATAACCTGATATTACGCCTCAAAAATCTAGAAAAAGAAGAGCAAGTTAAGCCCAAAGCCAAAAGAAGGGAGGAAATTATAAACATCAGAGAAGAAACCAACACAATAGAGACTTAAGAAAACAATACAAAGACTTAATGAATCAAAGAGTTGGTTCTTTGAAAGGATAAATAAAATTGATAAGCCACTGGCCACTCTTATTTTAAAAAGGAAATAAAAAAACTCATATTCAAGCAATAAGGAATGAAAAGGGTGAAGTCACTACAGACTCTATGAAAATACAAAAGATCATCAGTACCTGCTTTGAAAACCTTTATTCTCATAGGTTTGATAACACAGAAGAAATGGACAGATTCCTAGAAACATACAAATTACCAAAGCTGAATCAAGAAGATGTAAAACTGCTGAATAACCCAATTTCAGTTAATGAAATTGAAAATGTAATTAGAATTTTACCAACAAAGTAAGGCCACGTCCTAATGGATACACAGCTGAATTCTACAAGAAATTGAAGGAAGATTTAATGCCAACATTCCTCAAAGCCTTCAATGTAATTGAAAGGAAAGCAGTTCTCCCTAGCTCATTCCTGGAAGCAAGTATTGCCCTAAAACCAAAACCAGAGAAACACACAACCAAAAAAGAGAACTGTAAGCCAATCTTCCAAATGAACATACATGCAAAAAATTCTCAACAGAATCCTGGCAAATAGAACATCAGTCATCAGAAGATTATACAACACAACCAAGTGGGATTCATCCCAGAAATGCAAGGATGGTTCAACACATTCAAATCAATAAGCATATTACATCATATCAGTAGAGCCAAAGATAAGAATCACATGATCATTTCAATAGATGTAGCAAAAGCGTTTGATAAAGCTCAATACTCATTCATGATAACACTACAGAAAGGAAAATCAGAATAGATGGTCTCTACCTCAATCTGATAAAAGCCATCTATGACAGACAATAGCTAACATTATACTAAATGGTCAAAAACTGAAAGCTTTCACTCCAAAATCAGCAACAAGACAAAGCTGTCCACTATCACTACTCCTATTCAATATAGTACTGGAAATATTAGCCAGAGCAGTTAGATGAAAGAGAATGGGAATAAAGATAAGAAAGAAAGTTAAATTATCATCATTTGCAGTGTCATGATACTCTACATAGAAGACCCCTAAAACTCCATTGAAAGACTTCTACGTGTAATAGCAAAAATTCAGTAATGTAGGTAGATGCAAAGTTATCATTCAAAAATCAATAGTATTCCTTTACACAAACAGCAAACTCACTGAGAAACAAATAAGAGAAACATCACCCTTTACAATAGCATCCAAAAAAAATAAAATACTTAGGAATCAATCTAACAAAGAAAGTAAAAGATCTATTCAATGAAAATTATAGTACTCTGAAAAAAGAAATTGAAGAGGATTCCAGAAAATGGAAAGATAGATAGGAAGAACATTGTGAAAGTGGCCATTCTCCCAAAATCGTTACACAGATTTAATGAAATTCCATTCAAAACACCACTAGCATTACCTCACAGATTTAAAAAAAATCATTCCTAAAATTCATCTGGAACCAGAAGAGACCTAAGATAGCAAAGGCAGTTCTAGGCAACAAAGGCAAGGCAGGAGGCATCACAGTCCCTGACTTGAAGTTATACTACAAAGCTACTGTGATAAAAACAGACTTGAAAATTAGTGGAATAGATTAGAAGATACAACCACAGCTACAAACACACTCAGACACCTTATCTTTGACAAAGGGGCCAAACATGTTCACTGGAAGAAAGATAGCCTCTTTAACAAGTGGTGCTGGAAAAACTGGCTTCCCATATGCCGAAAACTAAAACTAGATCAATGCTTATCATCATGCGCTAAAGTCATAAAAGATAAAAGATCAAAATATTAAAACAGAGACACTAAATCTGCTGGGACACAAAGTAAGTAGAAATCTTGAAGACATAGGGGTTTGCAGATAATTCATGAACAAAATCATACTGCACAGGAAGTACTTACCAAAATCAGTAACTGGGATCTTGTCTCACTAAAAAGTTTTTACATGTCAAACGAAATCTCCAACAGAGTAAAAACAAAAAACCATGAATTGAGAAAAAAATGTGAGTCAACTGTCCCTCAGAGGACTTCTGTTTAAAACAGAGAACTTTAAATCAGACCCCCAAAATTCAGAGACCTAATCCAAAAATGGGCATCTGCGATGAATACACACTTCTCAGATGAAGAAATACAGATGGCAAATAAAGACATGAAAAAAGGTTCAACATCATTGGTCAGTAGAGAAATGCAAATTAAAACCACACTGAGATTCCATCTCCAGAAAGAATGGCCAGGATCAAGAAAGCCACCAATTACAAGTGCTGGAGAGGCTGTGGAGAAAAAGGAACTCTTCTGCACTGTTGGTGGGAGTGTAGACTGGTGCATTCACTGTGGAAATCAGTGTGTAGGTTCCTCAAAAGGCTGGGATTAGAAGTCCCATTTGACCCAGCTATTTCACTTCTGGGCACATTCCCAGAAGAACTGAAAATATCATACCACAGTGATATATGTGCATTCATATTTATAGCAACGCAATTTGTAATAGCCAAATTGGAAGCAACCTAAATGCCCATCAACTGAAGAATGGAGAAAAAAGATGTATTTTTATGCAATGGAGTACTACTCAGCTATAAAGAAGGACCACACTGAGGCTTTTATAGGTAAATGGTTATGATTTGACATACTCATAAGTGAAATAAATCAAACTCTCCTGTAAATACCATGTTACCTCCCTAGAGTAAGAAACTGAAAGAGTAAATAAGATACAAAGTCTTCAGTAAATATTGTGAAGGGTAAGAAACTACTCAAAGGGGAAAAAATAACTCAGGGAAAAGGAGAAAAGGAAGGGAAAAGAAAAAAATACAGATTTGTATATATACACTTAAGATAACTAACATGATTGTGCTACTAATTCTATTAGTTCTTAGAACAAAACAGTTAACCATAAGATTAGATCAGTTTTGTATGAGTATATGTGATAATTTGAGTAAGACTTTTGAAGATACCTATGCAAAACAACAAAATTTGTTAGGTACCTTCCACCTTGTTTTGAAAACCTACATTGTTAATGTTTGGGCTGTTATAATTATTTATTTGACTCGTGTTTCTTGTTTTTTCTTATTTTTTTTGTTTCTTTGTTTTTACCTCTTACGACAGAAAAGATAGATGTACATGTATAGGCTTATATATGCCTAGAACTTCACCTAAAGAGTTTATAAAAATTGATTTTATTATATGTGATGGTATGAACAGCTGCCTTGAAGAAAATGAGACATCATGGTAGCCTTTATTGATTTCCTGTCATTTTATTTTGAAGTCCAATAATGTTCTTATTCTTGGTATTGATTGGTTTTAGTCTGTTTTTAGTTATTGGATTTCAGTATGTATGAAGATATGAACAGCTATTTTGAAGAAAATGATATATTATGGTAGCCACTGTTGATTTCCTGTTGTCTTATTCTGAAATCCTGTTTTACTTGCATATTTTTGCTCAAATCTGCTTTGTTGGTTTTTTTTTTTTTTTTTTTTGGTCTTTTTCGCTTTTATCGGTACCAGGGATTGAACTCACGACTGCCTGCTTGGAAAGCAAGGGCTTATGCCGCTGAGCTAAATCCCCAGCCCAAATCTGCTTTGTTCTGTTTTGGTTTGCTTGCTTTGTTTTGTTTTATTCTCTTTAAAATAAAAAACGGCAAAGGACATTATCAGGAGAAAAAAGCAGCTGAAAGAATGGGATAAAATGTTATACAGGTCTAGTATCAAAAATATATATAAACAACTTCTGCAACTCCACAATAAAAAGGCAACCCAATTTAAATTTTGACAAAACTTTGAATAGACACTTCTCTGAAATAGATATGTAATATCTATAAATGTATAAAATCTATATAGCAATAAATGCATGTAAAGATGCTTAACACCATTAATCATTAGAGAAATAAAAATAAAAGCCACAATGAGATAACCATTTCACACCTGCTAAGATGGCCATAATTTTTTAAAATGGACAATAAAAATTGCTGATGAAGAAATTGAGAAACCGAGGCCCTAATGCATTGTTGGCAGGCATGGGAAATTGTAGCTGCTGTAAAAAGGTTTGACAGTAACTGTGTCACCCTCTGTGGTAATTCCTGCCTTTGGTAATACCCAAAGAATTAAAAACATAAGTATACTTTCAAACTTAAATTTGAATGTTCATATCATCACTATTTGTAATCACCAAAAAATGGAAACCTATGCCCACCACTTTGGATTAATAGTCACAAATATGATGTATATTTAGAGTGATATGATATATATATATATCACAAATATGATATATATTTAGAGTGATATTTAGAGTGATATGATATATATATAATAGGGTATATATAATAGGGTCACAAATTATGATAAGCACATATCTTGAAATACTCCAGTCATGAAAGGAATGAGGTACTAGTTAATGCTGTATAGCATGGCTAACCCTTGAACAGAATGCTAAATGAAAGAGGCAGATACATAGGCTGCATAAGGTAAGATTTCATTTTCATGAAATGTTCAAGAATAGGCAGATCCACGGAAAAAGAAAAAAATTAGTCCTTGCTTTGCAATGGTGGGAAAGGGAATCAGGAAGAAAGGTTTTATTGGCAGATGACAGGAGTATTTTAGAATTGGTGGTGATGGTGGTTGTGAATATGCTAAGAATCACTGAATTATATACCTTAAAATCATTAAAGTGTGGGGCTGGGGATTTAGCTCAGCAGCATAAGCGCCTGCCTTGCAAGCAGGCAGTCTTGAGTTTGATCCCCGGTACCGATAAAAAGGAAAAAGACAAAAAAAAAATCATTAAAGTGTTTAAGTTATATGAGTTTTATTTCCAAAAAATTGTACAGTCAGGCATGATGGCACATGACTATCATTTTAGCACTTAGGAGGCTAAGGCAGGAGGATCCCAGCAACTTTAAAGCCAAACTGGACTGCATAGTGAATTCAAGGCCATACACAGTAAAACTGTCTCAAAAAACCAAAACTTGAGAATTAAATATGTACAGTGAAAAGTTTATTTTCAAATCCATAATTTCCATTATCATTTTAATCATATCGAGAGGTTTCCACATGTAATAATCCTCTTTCTTTATTTCAGGATGCAAGGAAAGCATGTAATGATGCCACACTTGTTCAGGTAAAGTTTTTTCCCAATTCATTTTAATAATTCACATGAAATAAATTGACATTGATACAGATGAGATCTCTATCTAAATACCTTGTAATTAAAAAAACATTTCATAATTTGTGAAGCACTGTACAGTACATGTTTTTACAGTGTTAAGCCAGGCACAGGGACACATGTTTGTGGTCCCAGCACTCCGGGCTGAGACAGGTTCACAGCAAATTCAAGGCCAGCCTGGGCTAAAGAGTGTGTTCAGGGACAGCCTAAATTACATAGTGAGACCCCCTCTCTCTCTTTCTCTCTCTCTCTCTGTCTCTGTCTCTCTCTCTCTCTCATAGCACACTCTTAAAGTAGCCTATGAGGGAAAAAAGCTATAAAAATGTGTGAATTCATCTAGTTTATGCTTGTTTTAAGTAGTCTTTATTCCTTTTAGTATATCACAATTAGTGTTTTTTACTGGAAACTCTTAGGACGGTTTGGTTAGTTTAAAACTGATCACTTCTATTAAGGAAATATTTTATATTTTGCTATTTACATACACATGAAGCTGACTTTCTTATACACAAAATGTATAGGTGTTCTTTGATCATCTACCACCAGATTTTTGTTTGTAGTTTTTTTCTTAATTGACACATAATTGTACATCTTTATAGGTACAGTGTAATTTTATGTCTCATGTAAAGATAAAATCAGGGTAATTAGCTTTTCCTTGTCCTTAAACATTTATAATTTATTTTTGTTGAGAAGCTTTGAACTTCTGCCCTCTAATTCTTTTATAAAATACAATAGGTTATTGTAAACCGTGGTCACCACACTGTGCATTGGAAGTATGCATCCTATGTAACAGTATCATGGTACCCATTACCCAGTCTCTCTGTATTCTCTCTACCCTTGCTATCCTCTAGTATGGTTTTTAAAGAGGCATATTTACTCTTTTTAATTAATAGTCTGACAAAATATTCTTATCTATGAAGCATTTAGGATTACTTTAATTATAGATTTTCGTGCAAAATATTTTGATCCCACAATTCTGTGGGGGTTATATATTATCTTTAGGGACTGTAAATCTTATGTCTTTTTTATCTACCAGTTGTATCTAGTTGAAATAATCTCATGAACTATATCTGAAGTAAAGAATAATATTTTTGTTGCCTTCCAAAGATCACATCGAATATGGACTCTGTGGGCCGAATACAGATGCGAACGAGGCGTACACTAAGGGGACACCTTGCCAAAATCTATGCTATGCACTGGGGATATGACTCCAGGTTAGTGTCTGTGGCTTTCAAACTTTCAGCAGAATTACTTTTCCTTAAGAATCATTATTTGTCTTTCTCCTTATTTAAAAACAAGCTATATTAGGACATGTTTGTAGAAAATGCACCCACTGTGAACATTTTGCTTTCCCTAAGAATACTGGAACTCTTTGTTTGAAGGAAGGAGTATCTGTGTATCAAACTGCTCCTTAGAAGTTTAAATTTTTTCTTTTGTGATGTCTCACAAGAAAAAAAAAAAAGTTTAAATTTTTTTTACTAATAAAATCCATTACCAAATGATCTGAAAAGCAGTTAGAAAAGGATTTCATTTCTTTGCAATGGGGTACTATACTTTGTTTGGCAATAGACCAGCAGCAGTTGAAATATGCATATTAATTTTGACATTTCAATTAATATACAGATAGTTGCTGAACATCCTCTGTGTGCTACTTAGTGAATATTGCTATTTCTTTCCTCAATTCACAAAGGCTGGATTATATGAGACAAGGTGATTTTCATCGCACACATCCTTTACTCCCCAGCCCAGCTGGTAAATGCAGGTGCTGGACTGTGTGATACCAGCATGCTAAGTACACATGCGCACACCCGGCTCCTAGCTGCTAGAAGCTTAGACAGTCTGGCCACCGCTGTTCACTGTGTCCTGAGGGCTGCAGTGCAGCCTGAGGTTTTCCCCGTGTGTTTGGCAGTTTATGATTTATGCATTCAGGTCTGCTTGCTGCCACAGGGGCTGTTATGCTCCTTTATCTTACTGAGTAATGTCCGTAATGTCCGTAATATCCAGGCCAAAAAAAAAAAAATCAGTTTTCAGCACTACTGGAGAAAAAAAATAGTTGCACATGTATTGTCTGCTTCCAGGAGGTACTTAAGATTTTAAATAGAGGAAGCCTGTCTTACTTTAATGCTGTCGATAACATAGACAAGATTCTTGAATATATGAATATAGAGCACTACCTTTTAGAAGAAGATAGATAAAATTATATAGTTGGCATAAAGTTGGGCAAAGTTACATTTTTCTAAAAATTTTTTTACTTTTAAAGATAGTAAAATACAACGAAGCAAGACAGAACAAAGCCAATCAAGACAATGCAGCAAAATTGGTACAGAGCTTCAGAGCAGGATACCAGGAAAACAATTATAGCTACCATAGTATATCTTGTTATCTTCACAATAGTTGTTCGTTCAATCAGGTATAGCAAAAGTAAAACACAATAAAACCAATCAAAACAGAATATTGAATAAAGCAAAACAATCAGAACAAGGCAAAACAGTGAAAACAGTATTGGAATTTCAAAAACAAGGTAGAAGGAAATCCCCATATTTACTGTAGTACATATGGTCCTGTGGAGAGATGCTCAGACTGCTGGCCGCAGGCCTGCATAATCAACCAAACAATACAAGCATTCAGTCACTTTATGTATCTTGGTTGCTATCAACTCAGCCTGTCCTCCTAACCAGTGAGTTTCTGGGGGGACAAGGTGGGGTAGGCTTGCACTGCTTACCAGGAAGGCTGGACCATTGATTTCTTGGTTAGTCCCCCAAGATCTGGCATGGTGGATTCTCAAGAGGCACTGGCTTTTCTGTTTTCCTTTTCTGAAAATTTTTTAAGATAAAGATAATTTGTCTTGGGGCCATGGATACAGCTCAATCGTGCAGTGCCTGCCTGGCAAGCAGAAGGATCTGAGTTCAATTCCTGGAACTCATGCGGGGGAAAAATTTGTCTTATTGATACAGCAAATCCAGTCACTTGAAACAATGTTAGTCCTTTGCTTTGCTGTCATAAAATTTTCTCAAAAACAAAAGAATCACCCACAAACCAGTCTCACATTATCTGATTATCCATTCCTTACTATAATCCCATATGCTGATAAAGCCAGTTGAATTTTGAAACACTGTCCTTAGAGTCTATCCCTTATTCCACCACCAGCTTTTCTTTTTGTAAAAACAAGCAAAGTCTAGGACACTAAGAACTTATGTAGTTATTTATCTTTAGGAAAGGGAACTGAGTGGCTAGGGAGCAGCATAACAAGGTGATTTTTTTCAGGTAGATTCTTACGTATCTTTTCTCACAAACTTTGCACAAGGGAAGGACTCTTATTCTGGACCCCCACTGTTATTCCTCTTCTCATTGTGGTACCTCCTCTTATAACACGGACTTCTCTCTCCTGACCCCTCCAAGTACATTTTTCAAGATGCAGTTTTTAATTAATTTAACTCAACTATGCATTCTTCTTTTACTGTCCTACATAGTCTTTGGTAATTTTCACTTGATTTATTACAAAGATCCTTGAATATCTCATCTCTACTAGATGGAAGAGGCCTTGTGGGCAAGGGCTGTGTCTAGTATACCTTTCACACAGCAGCTAAAGGTACTCGTTGCTTAGATTAAAAGGAAGTATGGGTTTCATTAAATGTAGGTAGATTTTTATACTAAACAAATAAGCTAAGATCTACCAAAGCCTTCAGTAATAACTGCAGTGTTACCATTGTGGAGAAATGGAATCATAACCAAAGACGTGTTTGGTGAATTGTTAAGTTTATAATTTATGCTCAAAATTTATACTGTGCTGTATACATTTTTTTAAAAATAGGAAGAACATTTTTAGTTAGTAACAACTTTCTCTTCAAAAAACTTTTTTTCTGAACTGTCATGAATGTAATAGATAACTAAAACTTTTTCTTGTAAGCTTTATCAAATTATTTTTGTCTTCGTTCCTCTAGGCTACTAGTCAGTGCTTCTCAAGATGGAAAATTAATTATTTGGGATAGCTATACAACAAATAAGGTAGAATTTTTAATTGTTCTTTTAAATCTTATATTTGGTTTGCTGTCAGCCAGTTCTGTGTTTTATTCTTGCTTCAAACTTTAATTGCTTCTGAGATAAACATATTCCATTTTACTTTCATCTAAAGCCTCTCTTTAGGTTGTTTACCTTTAATATTTAACCCATTTTATTCCCAGGGATGAACTATATTAACATTGTTCAATGTGATTTACTTTCATATTTGAATTCTAAATGTACCATTTTTATTCATAAGTGACTTTTTAAAAATTCCTATTTCCTGGTATAAAATGACCCTGATTTTTATTTCTGATTGTGGGTGAGCTGGATGATTAACATGAAGTAGTTCCTGACCCCCCAGGCACTGATTTGTGTTTTTGGACCACTTAGGAGATATGATGTAGGTGAGGTACAGCTCGTTTAGGCTGTCTGGTAGTGGAAGACTGGATTCTCTTAAGAGTACATTCATTGTGAGGAGTTCCTGATTTAAAGTTGTTGAGTGATAATAAAAAAAAGTTTGAATACTTTCACAAAGCACATAGTTTTATGCTCTGTGTATACCTAGCACTATTTTTATTAAACATTGTGAAAATTATTTTAAAAAATAATAACTTCAGCCTGGTATGTTTTTATTTTCTCTCGTACTGTGCTGGAAATCAAAGCAGGGACCTTGGATGTGCTGGGGAAGAGCTCTACTGCTCAGCTGTCCCATTAGGAGTGATTTGTTTGTTTGTTTGTTTTGTTGAAATTGGGTCTTGCTATATAGTTCAGGCTGGCCTTGTGTAGCCCAGACTGATCTTGAACTCACAACGTCCCTCCTGCCTCAGCCTCCTGATTGTTGGGATTATAGGCGTATGCCACCACGCCCAGCTTCTGACTGAAATCTTGAAGCTATCTAAGACAATAACAGTTTTTTCTGTATTAATTGGCACTAAGCATGCTTCTTTGAACTCCATTTTCCTAAAATGAAACCAACCACATTTACTTTAAAAAATGATGTTCTTGGTGGAGAGAGCAGTAGCATTTATGCAGTGTGTTGCTGTCCTCCACAGACTGCCTAGCTGTCAGTCTTTTTGTGCAACCTGCAGGTGACAGGGTTGTATAACAAGGCACCAGACAGGTGTGACTGAAGCAGTGCAAAGCTCTCAGCGTTGTTTGAATGTGATTCTAGAATCCCTGTTACTAGAAGAATGCTAGTGTCTTCTCTTAGTGAAACCCTAACCATTTGAATGTACTCTATTTGTTCATTATTTCTCTTTTTAATTTTCAAAATTATGCTAGAGGAAATCTTTGGAGCACGACTGTAAAAAGAATTTTATTAAAATCTGTTAATTCTTTATATTTTTAAATTTTTTTTGGTTTTTTGAGACAGGGTCTTGCTGTATAATCCAGGCTGGTCTTGAACTTGTGACAGTCCTCCTGACTCAGCCTTCCAAGAGCTAGGATTGCAGGTGTGCACTACCATGCCTGGCCCACATCTTTAATATTTTATTGTTAATTTTTCAAATGACTGTATTAGCATTTGTCTTATTTTTCTCATTGCTGAGAGAAAATATTAGACATTCAAGTTGAAGGAGGAAAGGTTTTAGAGGCTTCAGTCCATAGTTGGCTGTCTCCAAGGCAGGGTGGCACATGGCTGAAGAGAATCAGTTCATGCCAGGCAGAAGGCAGCAAGGTACCAAAGCAGCAGCCAGTGCCAAGCGGCAGCCCTCTGTGTGTCCCTTGTATCTGCTCCAGGCTGCCCAGCCTTAGGCCTGACAGGACTCAGCCAGCGTGGGCAGCCTTCATCCCGGCATCACATCCCCCATCCCAGCCCTGTACCTGTGATCCAGCCACCTCTGGAAAGCCGCATCTATGACCCCATGACACTTTGGGGGGACATCTAGGCACAAACCGTGACAGCACTGAAGCATCCTTGTATCACTGCTTCTGTTAAAGAAATCATTTCCAAAAGAATACTTCTTCAAGTGATTTGGCAGTACAGAAAATAGCAGTAGGCATTTTTTTGTGCATTTGTGTTTTGACTTTCATTGTTCACTTTCTCAAGCCTGTATATTTTTCATTTGATGTATTTTTCTTAGATGTACTTAGTTTTTAGCAGTATTTATTATAGATTTGAAAAAATAAATGTTTAGGAGAAGAATTTAAAAAATAAATAGTTGACTGTTTCTGTAAATTTTCCTAACCTCTTTGTGGGTTGTGCTCATTTCACAGATGCATGCTATTCCTTTGAGGTCCTCCTGGGTGATGACCTGTGCTTATGCCCCTTCTGGGAACTACGTTGCTTGTGGAGGCTTGGACAACATCTGCTCCATATACAATTTAAAAACCAGAGAGGGGAATGTGAGAGTGAGCCGAGAGTTGCCTGGTCACACAGGTGAGCCGCAGAAGACACTGTTCTTTCCTGCTGAACCTTACTTTAGCCCAGGAATGTGCTGAGTGAAGGATTTGTGTTTAATTGTGCTCAGTTGGCTAAAGGATGAGTGGTACTAAGGAAGCAGAAATTACCATAAGTTAGGAAAACAATAAATTCTAAAAGTTGACCATCATTTTAATATTATAATATCATTTGGAGCTGGGAATTGAATGCAGCACCTTGTGCATGCTAAGCACATACTATACCGTGGAACTACATTTGCAGCCCCATAATATTATTTTTCTTTCAAAAATAGCTGTGCTATATATGTATATATATATGAAAATTCCAGACATAATCCCAACACTGGGAAGACTGAGGCAGGAGCACTGGCATGAATTTGAGGCCAGCCTGAACTACATAGTGAGACCCTGTCTCAGATAAATATAAATGAATGAATGAATGAATGAATGATCCAGTCAATAAAGATGCAAAAAGGAAGTAAATAAAATTTTCTCTGTTTTATGCTACTGCATAGCAGTTATAGGCTTGTAACATCTGCGCTGTGTATCTGTTAAGATGGGCTAATGAAGTATTTTTCCTTACACCATAACCTGGTGCTGTATTTGCCAGTGTGAGCGATCATTCCATAGCATAGTGTTTGATTAATGGTGTTAGTCAGCAATTTGTCCACACCTGCCTAGTTTCTACTCAGATAAATTTTTGGTATTTCTATTTGACTGAGTTTTTAAAAATTTTTAGAATGGCGCTTCCCTGCTATTCCCATACTGTGAGTAGCTGATGATGCTGAGCAGAGCTGTTGTAAAGCCCACATTGATATTCTTCTAATTTCTAGCAGCGTTTTAAGGTTCTTTCTCCAAGATGCTTAACGCTGACTGCCAGCATTATGGTTATTCATGTAAAGGAGCATGCTGCTCCATAGGTAGAGTAGATGACAGATGCGTTGGTCACCTGTATCACTTTCAGAGTACCTAGTGTCACTGACATATTAAGTGCCTCATAAGAGCATTGGTAAAATATAGTTGCAGACAGCACACAGTTAGCAGTAATTAAAAACAGACCTATAGATCATAGAAACATTTGTCCAGACCTATTTTAAAAAATAGTATGGTAATTGAGTTATTTGGTCAGTAATAACCTAAAATTTGCTACTCTCTGCAATAGGCTACTTGTCCTGCTGTCGTTTTTTAGATGACAGCCAAATTGTTACCAGTTCAGGAGATACAACCTGGTAAGTTCATTCCAAAAGAATTTGGGATTCAGGGTACTATAGGAACTAGCATAAGAGGTAATGGTCATTAAATATTTTTACTTATTTTTAATTATAGTGCTTTATGGGACATCGAAACTGCCCAGCAGACCACCACATTCACTGGGCATTCTGGAGACGTGATGAGTCTTTCCCTGAGTCCTGACTTGCGGACTTTCGTTTCTGGTGCTTGTGACGCCTCTTCCAAGTTATGGGATATCCGAGACGGGATGTGCAGGCAGTCTTTCACAGGCCATGTCTCAGATATTAATGCCGTCAGTGTAAGTGAAAGGCATTTTAAAGAAAATTTATTCTGCATTTAAAATGTTGAGCTGTATTGCATGATTTTAACAGAAATTTCTCTCAAGGATACTTATATCTGCTCTAAACATCGAATTTGTAAATAATAGGAGTTTAAGAAAAAAGTTTACTCTGTAGTTGTAGGCTAGTGTAGCTCTTCTGGAGCTTTCAGTGATACCAATAGCCCACTGTGGTATAAATAAAGGCTGTGAATACAGGTTTTATGTCCACAATTGACTGGATAGATCAGCCCTTGAGCAGATAAGTGGCTCATGGTTGTGCATAGCAGTGTGTGCAGATGAGAAAAAGTCCAAATCTGGAATTAGCCAAATCTGGGAACATTTACTTGCTCTCCTTCAGTCTAGGAATACACATCTCCCTTGAAGTACAGAACAAATGGTCTGATTTCTCTTACAGGAGATGTATGAGAAAGTTAAAGGGAAACACACACACACTAGTATTTTTCAAAATACCATCATGCCACAGAAAAGACCATGAGAGTTCAGTCAGGTTCACGCTCAAAGCCAGGATCCTTCACTATTTAGCACCAGGAGGCAAATTTGCAATAAACTTAAGCCCAGGTTGGATGCTACATGGGACCAGGTCCTGTGAATCCTAGCTCTCGAACCAGAACCTCCAGGCTTAATATTCTTCTACAATGGTGCTTGTTACAGAGTAAGATCAGCTTCCCCTTGTTCTTAGCCAGCTGCCTTCCCAAGTCACTGCCCAGCCAGTCCCAAAGCAGCTGTTCTAATTTCTCATAATCTAAGAGCTCTGGAGAGAACCTCCTAAGATGTGTCCCTTCCTAATGAGATACAGTAGAGACATTCTCTTTATGGAAAGCAACAAGACAGTAATTCGACTGTCACTGTTAGTGACAGTGTCTCACTGTGTAATTCAGGCTGGCCTAAAATTCATAATCATCCTCCTGTTTCAGCATCCTGAATGCTGCATTTACAAGTGTGTACCAGCTACTTAAATAAACCTGCAACTGTCATTCTGTATAGTTAGATCCAAATAATAGATGCAATAGAAAGTAGAAAAAATATTATTTGCAGTGATATGTTCAGCTGTCTAGAAATCACAAAAGTTCAGTGTATTTTCTGGATTATAGAACTATTTTTAAAGGATAGGCTTTCTATTACCGATATTTATTAGACTGTAGGAAGAAAAGTAAGTGGCTAAGAGTAGCCATGAGAATTATACATTTATCAAACAATGATGCATGTCTTTATGAAGAAAATCATAAAAATTTATGGGTGAATACTTAGGTTCTTTTTTGTATTTGGTGACGGGATCTTGCTATATAGTTTAGGCTGACCTTGAACCGTGTTGGCCTCAAATTCGTGATCTTCTGCCTTGGCCTCTGAAGTGCTGAGATGAGAGGCATGTGCCACCACCTTCATGGAAACACTTCGTTCTTAGCAAGTGGAAATGCATTTCACTGACCAATTTCCTATCCTCTACTTAATTTTAAAATTAAGTAGGGCTGGGATGTGTGGCATGGTGATAGACTGCTTGCTAACATTAATGAGGCCCGGGGCTCGATCTCTACCCTGCAACACTGAAAAAGGAAAAATACTAGATTTGGAAGGCTGAGGCAAGAGGATCAAGAGTTTAGGGCTGGTTTGAGCAGCACAGCAAGACCCTGTCTCAAAATGAAAAACAAGAAAACTTAAAAAAAATTAGTGCCCCACAGTCACTCACATAATAATTCTAATATAGAAAAGCCTCACACCAGTTTATTAACACAGATTACTGCCTTCTGTGAATTTCAGCTGCATCTGTGCAATATCTGTGTGTTTGTTGCTTTTCTTCATAGTTTTTCCCAAATGGATATGCCTTTGCCACTGGCTCTGATGATGCTACTTGCCGGCTCTTTGACCTCCGTGCGGACCAGGAGTTGTTACTGTATTCTCATGACAACATAATCTGTGGAATCACTTCTGTTGCTTTCTCAAAGAGTGGGCGCCTCCTGTTAGCTGGTTATGATGATTTCAATTGCAATGTTTGGGACACGCTGAAAGGAGATCGTGCAGGTTAGTGAGTGTGCATTTGTCTTTGATTGACTGGAGGAGTGAGGATGTTCTTGTGGGTAATTTCAGAGGCTTCCATGGATGCCCTGAAGCTGTGGAAAATGGTCCCATGAAGGTTCTTGTTACCGTTCAACTGTTGTTATTCTTTGAGTGCAGTTACAGTCCATGGTTCGTATTTTTATTTCTGTTTCCTGATGAGTAAATTCTAGTAAATTAGGGTATAAAGTTAAATAATGAGTATCACTCACTATGGTCTTTTCTTACAACCTGATAGGAAGTGCTGTAGCTATTATGAATTGTTGCCTTCTGTCTTGGTTACTTGTTTCTTGTTGCTGGGACAAAATACACTTCAATGCATGAAGGAAGGAAAGGATAAGCTCACAGTTTGTGGAGGTTTCAGTCCCTAATTGTCTGGCTCCAAGACAGGGTAGCCTGGCACGGGGCAACTCCTCAAGGCTGCTGAAAACAGCAAAAGTAGGGGAGAGCAAGGCTCTTTTCCTCCTTCCATTTAAGCAGGGTGCCCACCCGAGGGCAAGTGCAGCACTCACCATCTCCTTGCCCTCCACTTACACAGTGAGGACCCTGCCTCCTGCTGAGTCTCTTAGCTGACACAGTGTATGAGCTTCAGAACAGACTGTCAGGGACAGGACATAGACCTGTCTTCCCTTAGCCACCTCCTCTGAGTTCTCCCCTGCCTGCTGTTTCTAAAGTGTTAGAATATATATATATATATATATATATATATATATATATATATATACCCATAATGAGGACTGTGTTTACAGAGTGACTTTTAATTTTTTTAAAACATTAAATGATTTTATATAATTGTTACCTTTAAAAGTGTATAAACTTTTGTTGGTACATGTTTGTAGTACATAAGAATTACATTCATTGTTCGTTGTTGATACATGTGTATGTGTATAACACATCTTAATTCTTTCAACTCTCTCCTCCTTCCATCTCTTAGTGTCCTCCCTATCTGAGAAAGACCTCTCTCATTTTTTGTTGCTTTATTATTTTGTTCTAATGTCTACTATGACATTATGAGAAACCATACAATATTTAAGCTTGTGTGTCTCATATATTTCACTTAACGTTAATGGAGGGACATCCATTTTCCTACAAATGATTCAAATTTATCCTTCTTTAAGCAGACTAATATCCATTGTGTACTCATTTTATTTATCCATTCATCTGTTGATGGGCATGTGAAGAGATTTAGCTATTTTGAGTTGTGCTACTGTAAACAGGGTATGCACACATCACTCTAATGCCTTTAACTTTCAAGAGGATGTGTAGAAGGGGGAATAGCTGGGTCAAGTATAATGTCTATTTTTAGTTTTTTGAGAAATCGCCATTTTGATTTCATGATTTTCCATATTTTCTGTTTCCCAAAGTATCAACTCTAATCTTTTTTGTTTACTTTCATACCTTAAATAACATGCCCAATAGCTGGTATGTTAATGTTTTAGGGCCTTCTGTCTTGACCAGTTATGGATGACAAGGGTTTGGCATTAACATTGCTGCTTTACAGCAGCCGCATACATCTTCCCTGTTCTCTGGTTTTTCCCGCGTAATAAGTTAGCATAAATTTGGTAAACTACAAGAGAAGCAATATCAGTGTTTACATAATTATGCTTTTTAAAAAGTACTTCCTTCTGAACAATGTATATATGATTTCTTTTGCTATATAGATTTTTTATATTCTCTAGAGTAAGCTTTATGTTCTTCACTCTGATGTACTTACACTAAGAATCCTCAGACTTCTGCCAGATTTGTCTTTGAGTTGATCGTATCAACTGTGCAGGATATTCAGTGAGGACTGAACCCAAGGCTGTGTGCATAAATGCTCCATCCAGCTTTAAAGAACTTTTTTTTTTTTTGGACACAATGTCTTGCTGTGTAGCAAGGCTAGCACCCAAGTGCAGGAATTATGAGCAGGTGCCACCACAACCAGCTGGAACATGTTATTTTTAAGAACCCTTTCAAAATGGATGTGGTAGTGTACTAGAGACAAAAGCAGGAGGATTGCTATAAGTTTGAGCCCAACCTGGGCTGCATAGCAAGAGTCTACCTCGCCTCACCCCCACCCCAAAAGTGCTTCTAGATGCACATGTTGACTCAGTTCTAAAGTTACAAGTGCTAACTTTGTTCCTTTCTTTTTTTTAAGGTGTCCTTGCTGGTCATGACAACCGCGTCAGCTGTTTAGGTATAACTGATGATGGCATGGCGGTGGCCACAGGCTCTTGGGACAGTTTTCTTAGGGTTTGGAATTAACAGTGTCCGGTATTTTTCTGTTCTCCATCAATATCTGGAGAAATCAGTGCTACAGCCTATAGCTGTGAAAACAAATTCTACCTTATATTTGCAGGTGAAGATTTTTTTATTACTATATTAAATATGAAAAGCTTTCAGTAAACTACAAAAAAGGGAAAACAAGGCTGCTGGGATCAAAAGGACCAGTGTATTCATTAATTTGAGTAGTTTCATTTAACCTGGATAAAGTTTTAGTTATACTGTTTCTTTGTTAGATCAGAATATATACTTTAGAGCAGCTGCCTGTGGTGTTTGCTTTTGTTAAGAACTACATCTTAAATTTTGTATACGTAAGAAATGTCAGTCATTGAGTTTTGTAATGTAAGAATAAGGCCTTGTAATAGATGAAAATGATAGTATGTGTGTGCTACATTAAATAGGAAGTCCCCTTAAATTTGACATTTCTTTTAATCTAACCAACCACTTAATGTTTAAGAGTGTTGTCAGTGTAGTGGCGCACACCCATAATCTGAGCATTCAAGACGCTGAGACAGGAAGATTGCCATGAGTTTGAGGCCAGCCTACAATCCATAGTAAGTTCCGGGCCAGCCTGAACTGCAGAGTGACACCCTGTCTCACGAAAACTAAACAGTGTTGATGGATGAGGTACCTCTGAGGAGAGTCATTCATTTCTTGTGTATTCTTTTTCCATATCAATCTAAGTAAGTGCTTTTTTCAGTCCTTTGACAGGACAGATTATATGAGTGTCACTGGAAAAAGATTATACTCTGGTATTTTGGACATACCTAAGAAACTTCATTAGAATTTATTTTATAAGTGCCAGCATTTATATAATTCTTGGCATTTTAAAAGCCTCGTTGTGGTCAGCTGATATTGAGTAACCTCAACCGCTGGACCTACTGATTTTATATTCTGGAGCTAAGTTTGTAGAGTATATTTATATTTCAAAAGTTTGATGTATATCTGGATTGTCTGCATCTGAAGACTCTTACCCAGGGTTTTCTATTAGTAACATCTAGACAGGAAACACTGTGTGCCAGCAGTAACATGTTTGAGAGAAATGTAAAATTTGACCATTTGCTAGCACTGACTTACTTTAAACAAGGTGGCTTTGTGAATTTTATGTAGTATAAAATGTGGCTTTATTGGCTGGGCATGGCGGCACACACTTAGACTACATAGGTGAGTTCAAGGCCAGTTTGACCTACACAGACACCGGCTCAAAAAACAAACAAGCAAACAGAAAAACACCTTGAATTTATGTAAAGTGTAAGCCCCTGGCTTTCTTAAAATGAAACACTTAAGCCTTTTCTCTTTTGTAATATTTCCTTCCCACAAAATAGTAGTTTTTAAGTGGTTTTGCTTCAAAAAATATCTAGATCTCAGTGGCCCAACTTTAAAGCCAAATTCCTAAAGCAGTTTTCAAAGGAGTCAGGAATATACCAAGCAATTTATCCACTTGTCCATGGCATAATATTTATGAGTAGAATTTTCCCACTGTTTGATTTAAATATACTTTTCCTCTCTGGTTTCCTCCTAGAAATGTAAATGATAGATTACTGTCTTGCTTGATGTAAAGTCATGTGTTATTCTGATACATAGAAGTGCATTTTGTAACTTAGTATGTAGTCAGAGTTAACTTTTGATCACCTGTAACCATAAAGTACTTCTAAGTTTTACATGTAAATTTTCATTTTTATATTGTAAATATGCTGATAATGTGGATACAGTGTAGTGAAAGCAGTGTTTTTTTTAATTAGGGTCAGTTGATGTTAGAATAAAATGGATAGAGGCAATGTAGGACCAAAACAGTATTGTAGATGGCAAGTGTGAATGTATTATGCCTTTTGATTAGGATTTCTATGAAGTGTGTGCTATTAATGTTTATCTGTGAACTATTTATATCACTTCATAAAGAGTAGGTCCTGGATGTAGGGCACATTTTAAAAGAGCACATTTATTTTCTAAAAAGGGGCCCAGAAATTCATTCCAAATTTCAGTTCAAGACATGTGTGAATAACCACACACACACATTTTAAATATGTATGTAGACATATCTCTTTTTAAATGTAACTATAATATACTTTAGAGAGGCACAATACAGATGACTTCTGTGGTATTAATAACATTTTAATGTTATTAAAGTTTGTGTAGAGGAATCTAAAGCAATTTCCATAATATGTAGTAGGCAACTGAAAACTAATCACTACTAGATATTGTGGGTAATTACACGTAGGACCAGTTGGTGACAAAGTTTTCTCTTCACTGCAGTAGTTCCCTTGCTGTGGATGGGATATAGCTCAGTAAAACGGCACTTGCCTGACAAGTGTGAGGCTTAGGTCCCTAGCACCATGAAAACAAAAACTTTTAAACATAATGTGCCTCAGAAGACTCTTACGGCAAGAGAGTAAATTTTGAGGTCTAGGAAGTTTGTGAACTTTTTTTTTTTTTTTTGAGTCAGGGTCCTGATGTTGCCCTGGTTGGCCACAGACAATCTTGCTTCATCTTCTGAGTTGGAAACTATGGACATGTACCACCACACCCAGCTCTGGCTAAAGTATTTTAACAACACATACTCTTCTAAAACATGACCACCACATGATTTGGTTACCATTCTGTTTACAAAAGCAAGTTTTGCTGTCAGCAGCATATTTCCTCTGCTTTGATAAGTCTTATTTCCCCCCAAAAATTCGGGGGACTTCTTTGATGTGAATGCTGGTTGAATCAGACTAGTTCACAATTCCAAGTGGTACATCATACTGAATTCCAAATTGATAGGAGTAGAGATCCTGGCTTAGTGTATCAACAGCAAGAGAACCTAGTAAGCAGGTCATTTTATGTTAGACTTACATCAGCTGATGCTGATAATCAAACAAACTAGTCTTGAAATAGTGGATGCACATGCTTCCCGAGTAGCTTAAGGAATTTTAGTCTAAGAATGACACTGACTTTTCTCCAGGTGACAAAATAGAATTTTTATTGCTAAAAAATGTGGCCAACTTCCTTTAAACCTAGTGATGTCTTAAATTTAATACTTAAGACTGTTATAAAAGTGAAAATGCCTGGGGACTTAGCTCAGTGGCATAAGCGCCCGCCTGGCAAACGTAAGGTTGCGAGTTCCATCCAGTACCAAAAAAAAAAAAAGTGAAAGTGTTTAGGGAAATTTGAATGTGAATGTCTCAGATTTTAAATTGTTTCACATTTAGTACTTGATGCTTGTGGTTGGTTACTTTAACTAAATGATCCCAAAATGGGTCTGTCACTTTAGGAATGAATGTTCTTTCAAAAATCTTTAGGCTATGTCAGGCTTTTTAAAAATACTTAAGTGCTATATTCTGCTTCTCTCCTCCCTTTTACCATTATGGAAAGTAAAATTTTAAACTATGTCTGACCTCGTTAGAATTTTAAAAACCACCTCATCTTTTTTATAAGAATAGAATAAACTAGTATCTTAAATTGGATTAAGCAGAATTCCGATCTACTAGTTTTGTATTATTCATTGTGCATTGCCTCCTACTCGGTGCAGTGCTGTATTTTAAACTATGGATTACAATACGCACTCACTAAAATGGCTTGTTGAACATCTAAGCTATAGCATTTTTATCTTAAAAATTTATCAATCAGATTGGTGGTGCACAGTGTGTTTAGCCAATGTTTTTTGCATGTTGATAAAATTTCCTAAAGGAATTTTCCTTTCTTAAACTGATGACTGGTTTTGTAAAATACAGTATTAACAGTGCAGCGTTTAAAAAAAAACCCTATTGTTTCAATTGATGTACTTATCAAAACTTGTTTTAAATTAATAAAACTTCAGTGATGCACACGGTAGACTATTTCAAGCTTTTTCTGTCTTACACAATGGTGCTCTCTCCAGTTTTTCTTTTCAAAGAAGAATCTGAACATTTATATTTTCTTATCCAAAGGCATCCATATCTAAGTGTCTTTAAACGTGGTTAAAATGTTTTCCTTTTAAGGCATTTTGAAAACATTTCTGTTCACTTAAACTTTCTACACACTTGTGGCCAATTGGCTATGAATGTCAGTACAGTGTCTGATTATGGAAAAAGTAAACATGCTAGATGGAAGCCTCTTACACAAGCTTTAAACCATACAGACTGTGGACTTGTGCCGTGATTTAACAGTATACTTGGATCTTTTTTCACAATGATTATTTGTATAGTTAGTTGCTCTGTGAAATGTGAATCGATAATTGTAATCAATAAAGTGCTTTTAACCAGAGTTCACTGCATCATGTTTTTTCTTTTTCTTTTTTTTTTTTTTCATTTTTATTGGTACCAGAGATCGAACTGATGACCGCCTGCTTGCAAGGCTTATGCCCCTGAGCTAAATCCCCAGCTCCACTGCAGCATGTTTTAATAATTTTTTAAAGTGCCAAAACTCTTAATTTTTTATTTTAAATATAAACAGTGGTATGAAATTTGAAAATAAGGTTGTAGGGGAGTAACAGTGTTTAGTACATTGCATATTATTGTCTTCAAATAGTTGCTCATATTACAAGATAGAGGTATGAAAAATTGATCAAACTATAGGCATAACCTTTCTTTCCAGTGAATAGCAATTAGTGGTATAACTTCCTTTAACTGTTTGGTATATATATAATAAATTTTCCTTTTTTCTCCTATTGCAGTTGTTCTTCCTTTTGAACAGTTTCTTCCCATTTCACTATCTGTTGTACATTTTGGACCTTATTTTTCAGCTTGTTATACTAGGGGGACAAGTCTGATTTATTTCTGACTTACGATTATAGTCTCTCATTTATCCTTTATAGCTTACTACTCCATTATACAAAAAGGTCATTTTATCCATTCCTCAGTTGATGGGCATTTGGGTTGTTTCCAAGATTTAGCTATTACAAATTTTGCAGCTATAAACACGAGTGGACATATATCTCTGAGGTTTTTAAATTTTTCTGGGAAAATACCCAGAAAGGGAGGACTGTGGATATCTCAGCAAGCAGGGAGGGATCGCAGGTTCCTGAGGCACCACAGCCTGTGGTGAGTGCTCAGCACACTCTGCCCAAATCTCAGACTGTTCCAGACCCTCCAGGCTTCTGGGTGCAGTGAAGTGGAGAAGTGGGTTTGAGGCCTCTACATCCGCCTCCCCATCCCGGCTGCACTTGGAGAACTGCTGAGCTTCCGACGGGTGGGCGGGCCCACACTATCCCCGGAGCCCAGCCTGTTTCGCTGCCGCGCCTAGCCATCGGTGTGCAGAGGAGGGGCTGGGCGGATCTGGGGCACCTGCATCGGCCTCTCCGTGTGTCTGGAGGACTGTGGATATCTCAGCAAGCAGGGAGGGATCGCAGGTTCCTGAGGCACCGCGGCCTGTGGTGAGTACCCTAACCCGGCTGTGATTGGAGAACTGTGGAGCTTCCAAGGGGCAGGTGGGCGCACAGTGTCCCTGAGGCCCAGCTTGTCTGGAACTGCGGAGTTCTGAGAAGGCAGAGGAGGGCCATTGGTTCTGCAGGCCCAGTGGCTTGGGGTAGCATGGTGCCAGAGTCTCAGTAGCTGCAAACATAGAAGGGGATTTTCAACAGATCCTGAGGAAGCTTTCAAATAACACTTGAAACACAGAAATATAGGAAAATGACAAAACGAAAGACCAAATTACAACCTCAAACCTCCAGCCCATCTCAAGAAACCCTAGGAGCAATGTATATAGAAGAAAATATATGCCATCCACCTCAAATATCGGACACAATAGCTACTGAAATTGACAAGCAACTCCAGGAAGCTTTAAAGAAATTCAAACTTGAAATAATCTCCCAGATAAAAGAAGAAATGATAAAAGAAATGAAAGAGATTCTGAATATATCTAAAGAAAACACAGATAAAAAATTGGAGGAACTAAACAAAAAGATAGAATCCCTAGATGAGCAATATAAGAAACAAACAGAATACATAATGCAGATGCACAGAGATATACAGGAAATAAAAAACTCCACTGAAAGTTGTAAAAACCGCCTTAATGAAAGTGAAGATAGAATTTCAGACCTTGAAGACAGGATTGCAGCTAGTGAACAGGAAAGGAAAGATCTTTTGAAAATAACAAGGAACCAGGAAACAACAATTCAACAACTGCAAGACGATGCAAAGAAGAATAACATAAGAATGATAGGGATTAATGAAAGAGAGGGAGACAACATGAAGGATGTCAGGAGGATATTTAGAGAAGTAATAGCTGAAAATTTCCCAAGCATGAGATCAGAAACTGACATCAGGATCAGTGAAGCATATAGAACTCCAAATAGTCATAACCAAAATAAAACTACACCCAGACATATAATAATCACCATCCCAGAAATCCAACACAAGAATAGATTATTAAAAGCTGTCAGAGAGAAAAGACAGATCACTTATAAAGGAAAACCTATCAGAATCACAGCAGACTTCTCAGCACAAACAATAAAGTCAAGAAGAGCATGGAGTGAAGTATTCCAGATCCTAAAGCAAAATGATTTCCAATCTAGACTGATGTATCCTGCAAAACTATCATTCAAAATTGATGGTGAAATACGATACTTCCATGACAAAGAACAGCTGAAGAACTTCATGAACAGCAAACCAACCCTGCAAAAAATATTGTAAGACAGTTTAAATACACAAAGGAAAAAAACACTAAGCTAAGCAAATAATTAAACAGAACAGAAAGATAAAGATGCAACAGCAGAGAGATAACATTCCTACAATAAACCAGCATTTAACAGTAATAACCATTAATGTAAATGGTCTCAATGCACCAATCAAAAGAAACAGACTAGCAGAATGGGTCAAGAAACAAAATCCAACCATATGCTGTTTACAGGAAACCCATCTAACCCAGAAGGATACTCACAGACTGAAAGTCAAAGGATGGAAAACAATACTTCATGCAGCAGGAATCCAAAAAAAGGTAGGAGTAGCCATTCTGTTTGCAGACAATGTGAACTTTAAACCAACAATGACCATAAAGGACAAAGAAGGTCACTACATACTCGTAAGGGGAAAACTCCAAGAGGAAGAGGTAACTATCTTAAATATATACGCACCAAACTCTAGAGCACCCAGTTATATAAAACAATTATTAACAGAAATGAAAACTCAAATTATCAGTTACACAATTGTAACAGGAGACCTTAATACGCCATTGACACCAAGGGACAGATCAACCAGACAGAAAATGAGCAAAGAAATAACAGAACTGAATCACACCTGTGAACAAATGGGTTTGATAGACATATACAGAATGTTCCACCCAACAACATCAGAATACACATTCTTCTCAGCAGTACATGGATCATTCTCTAAAATAGACCATATATTAGCTCACAGAACATATTTAAACAAATGCAAAAGAGTTGAAATCATCCCTTGCATGTTATCGGATCATAGTGCTCTGAAATTAGAAATTAATGATAAAAGATACTGCAATAATCCCGCAAACACATGGAAACTGAATAACACACTCTTGAGTAATCAGTGGGTCACAGAAGAAATTAAAGAAGAAATTAAACAATACCTAAAAGAAAATGAAAATGCAGATACAACTTACCGGAATCTGTGGGATGCAATGAAAGCCGTTCTGAGAGGAAAATTTATTGCACTGAGTTCCCACATCAGGAAAACAGAAGGAATACAAATAAATAACTTGATGCTACACCTCAAACAGCTAGAAAAAGAAGAGCAAGTCAAGTCCAAAGCCAAAAGAAGAGAGGAAATTATAAAAATCAGAGCAGAAATCAATGCAATAGAGACTAAGAAAACAATCCAAAGAATCAGCGAATCAAAGAGTTGGTTCTTTGAAAGAATAAATAAAATCGATAAGCCCCTAGCCAACCTTATTAAAAAAAAAGGGAAGAAAAAGCTCAAATTCACGCAATAAGAAATGCAAAAGGTGAAATCACTACAGACCCAATAGAAATACAGAAGATCATCAACACCTATTTTGAAAACCTCTACTCTCAAAAGTTTGATAACACAGAAGAAATAGATAGATTCTTAGAAACATATGAAGTATCAAAGCTAGATCAAGAGGATGTAAAACTGTTGAATAACCCAATCTCTGTTAATGAAATTGAAAATGTAATTAAGTCCTTACCCACCAAGAAGAGCCCAGGCCCAGATGGATTCACTGCAGAATTCTACAAGAAATACAAAGAAGACCTAATGCCGACACTCCTCAAACTATTCAATGAAATTGAAAGAGAAGCAATCCTTCCTAAGTCATTCCTGGAAGCAAATATTACTCTAGTACCAAAACCTGAGAAAGACCCAACTAAAAAAGAGAACTATAGACTGATCTCCCTAATGAACACAGATGCAAAAATCCTCAATAAAATATTGGCAAATAAGATCCAGCAAATCATCAAGAAGATTATACACCATGACCAAGTAGGATTCATCCCAGGAATGCAAGGATGGTTCAACATACGCAAATCAATAAATGTAATCCACCATATCAATAAAGCCAAAAATAAGAATCACATGATCATTTCTATAGATGCAGAAAAAGCCTTCAATAAGGTCCAACATTTATTCATGATAAGAACTTTACAGAAAATTGGAATAGATGGTCTTTACCTCATTATAATAAAGGCCATTTATGACAAACCAACAGCCAGCATCATACTAAATGGCCAAAAATTGAAAGCCTTTACTTTAAAATCAGGCACAAGACAAGGATGTCCTTTATCACCACTCCTATTTAATATAGTACTGGAAGTACTAGCCAGAGCAATTAGGCAAGAAAGAGAAATAAAAGGGGTAAAGATAGGAAAAGAAGAAGTTAAATTATCATTGTTTGCAGATGACATGATACTCTACATAGAAGACCCCCTAAACTCCATTGAAAGACTCTTAGATACGATAAATAAATTCAGTAATGTGGCTGGATACAAAATCAATACTCAGAAATCAATAGCATTCCTATACACAAACAACAAAATCACAGAGAGGGAAATAAGAGAAACTGGACTATTCACATTAGCAAGCAAAAAAATGAAATATTTAGGAATTGCTCTTATGAAAGAAGTGAAAGACTTATACAGTGAAAATTATAATACACTGAAAAAGGAAATTGAGGATGATCTCAGAAAATGGAAAAACATTCCTTGCTCATGGATAGGAAGAACAAACATTGTGAAGATGGCCATTCTCCCAAAACTGTTATACAGATTCAATGCAATCCCAGTAGAAATACCATCAACATACCTTATAGATCTAGAGAAATCACTCCTAAATTTC